TAGCAAGAATTTACAGTCCGTTTTTTTCCTATAAGTAAATAAAGTTAGGGGATATAAAAGATATACATGAATTAAATCTATTATTCTTATAGTATCGATACTTCTTTTATTTTAGGACTATGTTGACCCTGAATAGTACGTTGCTACCTTGACTGCACTGTCCGTCACCACGTAGAGATCTTCCCTCGTACAGGTATAAGGGCACAAAGGGCATAACAGTAAGTCCTGCATGGACTATGTTAGAGCACCGCTGTCACATCGGGCTTAATTTACTTTTCTTGTAATTGGTATTTATTTAAATTTTTATTGAAATGTTATTCAATTATTTTTTGTGTGTGAAATTACTCCACTAGTTTGTTATAATTATTAATTCAAAGATCGAACACTTATAAAAAATTCCTTCGATCCGGTCGAATTCCAACCGACGTCTTCTAGCAAACCGTGTCAGACGTAGTGTTGGGCAAAATTTAATTATTCTGGCAATTAAAGATTGACAATTAATTAATTGTCAATTGCGAAACAACAATTAACGATTGATCAATTGTTAGTTGCCAGAACCGCAATTAACAATTAATTTATTGTTAATTAATCAATCTTTTCAATGTTTTTCATTAACAATTAACAATTTAGGTTAGGTTAGACCCCCTAACCCACCCCGGGTTAGGGTGTGGGTTAGGGGGTCGGGTAGGGTGTGGTTTAAGGGATGGGTTAGTGGGTGGGTTAGGTGGTGGGCTAGGGGTGGGTTATGTGGTGGGCTAGGGGTGGGTTAGGTGGTGGGCTAGGGGTGGGTTAGGTGACGCCGCATCGGCTTTGGGTCGGCTCCTGCCCAATCTCGGGAGGCCGGGAGCCCCATGCAGAAGGCTATACGCCAGAGTGACCCGAAGTATGGCCTTATACGGGGCTCCCATTTGGAGTGGGGCCTTATCAGTGGCGACGAAATCGCTGCTACGGAGGGCACAGGGTGGTCGCGCTGTGAATGTGCAGGGCGTACATGACGGTGGCCTGCGCTGCCGCATGCGTCCTCAACGGTACTCCGCCGTGGGACCTTGAAGCCGAGGTCCTGGCGGAGGTCCACGCCTACCGGCGGGGAATGAGGGACCGAGGCGAGCGCCATGCTCCCCAATAGGTCGAGCGGGAGCGCCACCTCGCGGCGCAGCGTATGCGGGACCAGTGGAAAGAGGGCTTGGCGGATCCCCTATGGAGCTTGTACCATAGGGGCGATCCGTCCTGTCCTCGTAGAGTGGATGAGATGTCCCACGGGCCACTGTCGTACCACCTTGTGCAGGTGCTGATCGGGCATGGCTGCTTCGGTCACTACCTACAGAAGGTGGCGAGGAGGGAACCGTACCCGTCGTGCTACGAGTGCGGCGCTGCGGATGACACCGCGCAACACACCCTAGAGGTATGTAGCCGGTGGGATGAGCAGCGCCTTACCCTGACGGAGACAATAGGGCAGGACCTCTCGCTGCCGAGCGTGGTTGCCGCCATGCTCGGTAGCGAGGAGTCCTGGGAGGCGGTGGCCTCCTTTTGCGGATGAGTTAGGGTTTGAATTGAGGGGGTTAGGAGTGATTTAGGGGGTGAGTTAGGGTTTGGGTTGCCGGGTTAGGGGTGGTTTAAGGGCTGGGTTAGGGAAGGGGTGGGTTATTGTGTGGTGCGGGCCAACTGTACTGTGGCATTTGCGGCGGCGTGCGTACTCGCCGGCACCCCCCCGTGGGAGCTCGAGGCGGGGGTGCTGGCGGAAGCACACCGCGTAAGAACGGAGGCCAGGGCCAGAGGCGAGCGCCCTGCCCCTGAAGAAGTCGAGCGGGCGCGTCGTATGGCGGCGCGAAGGATGTGTGACCGCTGGAAACAGCCTGGCGGACCCCTCATACGGCATCCGCACCATTGAGGCTATCCGCCCGGTTCTTGACCAGTGGGTCAGCAGGCGGCACGGCTTGATGTCGTACCGACTCTGTCACGAGTGCGGCGCTGCGGATGACACCGCACAGCACACCTTAGAGGTGTGCATTAGGTGGCATGAGCGGCGCCGCACTCTGGTAGCGGCGATTGGGGCGCATCTTTCGCTGCCCAGTGTAGTGACAGCCATGCTGGACAGCGAAAGTTCATGGGACGCAGTGGCCTCCTTTTGCGAGGACGTGATGTCGCAAAAGGAGGCCGCGGAGCGGGAACGCGAAGATGCTGTTGACGCGGACCCGCTCCGGCGCAGGCGGCGGGAAAGAAGGCAAGGGCAGTTCGCTGCTTGCCTAATTCCCTAGTGAGGCCAGCGGGCAGGGGTGGGGATCCCCTGGCAGCCTTGCATGGCCTCCCTCGTCTGGGGGGATGGGTCATGCGGGCCAACCCTCCCCCACTTGGCGCGGGAATCCCGGTGAAAACCGGGATGGCCGGGGGTGTCGTTGTGATCGAATCCTCAGGATCCCACGGCACCCACAACACCCGGCCTTGCGGGCAACGCCGGTGGAGTTTTAGTGCGGTATGTCCCCCACTATGGGGGAGAGTCCCACATAACATCCGAGCCTCCCCAGCTCGGTCGTATGCATAAAGCATTTCTCCACCGTTAAAAAAAAAGGGAGTGGGTTATGGTGTGGGTTAGGGGTTGGTACAGGGGTAGGTTAGGGGGTGGGTTAGGAGGTGGGTTAGGGGCGTGTGAGGGGATGGGTGAGTGGGTTTGAGTAGGTGGGTGAGCGGGTGTTTGGATGGGTTGGGATAGGGGTGGGTTAGGGGGTGGGTCACTCATCCTCTGACCCACCCCCTAACTCACCGCATAACCCATCATCTAACTCACTACCTGACCCAACCCCCAACCTAACCCTTAACCCATCCCCCTCACCTACCTTCTAACCCACCTCCTAACCGACCCATTAACCGACCCCATAACCGATCCCCTAACCGACCCTCTAACCGACCCCCTAACCGACCCCCTAAACGACTCCCTAACCGACCCCCTAACCGATCAACTAACCTAACCTAACCGGCCCCCTAACCGACCCCCTAACCCATCCCCTTACCGACCACCTAACCGACCCCCTAATCGACCCCTAACCGACCCACTAACCGACCGCCAGCCGACCCACTAACCGGCCCCTAACCGACCCCCTCACCCACCCTCTAACCCATATTCGTAATGACACTTTTATTCGGTACTTTCGGTATTAATTATCAGTTTCAATTGTTTATTAGAACAACAAAAAAAAGTAATTGCAATTGATTTCAATTGAATTGATTTTTTAATCTGATTGCATTTCTGATTGAAATTTAATTGATTAACGCCCAACACTGGTCAGACGCTATGCCAACTAAGCCACGGAGCGAATCTGCGGACCTCACGAATTTTTCTATGTGCGTCTTGTCATATCTTTGTATTTGGTTTTTCAACGACTTTTTAGCCGAAGCGCCATATATGAGAAATCTACGAATTAGCATTTATTTATTTATATTTTATTATAACTTAACGTGTTCATGGACAGTAGTTTATAGTACCACACACAAAAATTTCATACTTTATGTCGTAGTAATTTATATCGATGCCATATGCAATATTCAATGTAAATTATAGAACTTTGTCAGTACGTTGTTGATACTTGGACGGAAAGCACTTAGAAATCATACTGTAGAACCTGTAGTTGGTTTTTTTAATAATCTATCATGTTCTGATTTTTTTATATAAATTATAGACACACGCTTGGCCACAATCTCACCAGATGTTAAGTGACGATGTGACCGACAATGGTACGCGTTTGCCTAAGAAATGTCTATTCACTCTAGCCTTGAATAGCCTCAAATCGAAGGAAGAACGGTGAGGGTGGAACTAAATTGAAAACTTCTTGCGCACACTCCTCGAAATGTATCCGACAAAAAATTACGTTTTATACTAAATGTCGTTACTGTCCACGAATAAGTTAACTAAATATAGGTAACACAAGTGCAAAGGAAGCTCTGATAATAAAGAATAATTATAACTTAAAAAAAAAACAGACTTTTAAATTTCCTATTTACATATATTTGTCAAGTTTTATTGAAATCGGTTACGGGAAAGTACGCGAAACCGGATTCACCACCTAGTTTCCAACACTTAGATATTTAATATTTTCTTCAAAATTAAATGGGACCAATACTGAGGTACCCTCTTTCCAACAAGAAAATGAATCATCAAAATCGGTTCACAAATTATGGAGAAATCGCGTAACATACAGACGCAAAAAAAACGAAAGAGAACCTCCTTCTTTTTTCGAAGGCGGTTAAAAAGGGATCTTAATTATAATACAATCATTATAAAGCTATACAATTAAATCTTAGAATTCTATAATAGTGTAGTTGCGATACCTAAACTAAGTAAAGGAGTTCTTACACATATATACATTAACATATGTATACAAGGAAGTACTCCTTCAACATCTATCTTGAAACGTCTTGTAGATATTTCTAATATACTTTCGAGCCGGTGAAGGTGCCTACAAGAGAAGTGGGAAGAATTTCTACAAGAAAAATATTTGACCGAACGGTCAAGTAATCCATTATTCAATATATCGAAATGCGAGAAGTCGATGGATCATCAGACCGAGTGACGTTTGCGCGAAAGATTGATTGTGTAATTGATTTATTACCACGAACGTTCATTTGGTCGAAAAATTTCCCTGATATTTTATTAAAGTGAAGGTCTTCCAACATGTTTCCCTCAACAACAGAATGTAATTTTATCATTGTATATCTTGAAGTAGGTTATTGGATTTAAGTCAGCAAGTTAACCCAATACAAGTTCGATCCAGTCAAACTCTAATTCAAAACTATAATAGCTCCGAAACCACTTCGGAAAACGCGTCTCTACTTTAAAATGAACATTGAGGTAGAAAAAAACGGAGTTTTGGTTTTCGTCAAGCAACTAGCAGGTTTCCCTTGACAGAAAAGCAAATCCACATCTTCCTTCCTTCCACTGACTTGTGAATGAGTGGTGTGTTCTTACACAACGCCGCAGCGCGTGCGCCGCTCTCTCCGCGGCAGTCGCCAGCGACGCGTTGAACACAAACGCCGACACCGAGACAACAAGAATCGCGTTTTTCAAAATATTGAAATTGCGAATTCTAGCCTACAAAAAATAAACTCAGTGTGACGTACTTATAGTTGTAAAGGAGTGAGAGTGTGTGGAAAACTGGAAAGTGCGCAAATGCCGTTGCCGGCCTGCGCCTGAGTTGATTTTCACTTTCTACGCGACGGGACACACTCAGAGGTGAGTCCTGCCTCTTATTAATTTATGACTTTTACATAAAAGTCAAAGGAAATATATCACTTTGCACAGTGTCATTTTGGAGTATAAGACACTAAAAATTTGCAAAAAACTTTTAACCACAACTTTTGATCTAACATTAAAACTAAACTAGAAACAATCTACGAATATTCACTATAATTATGGGTAGTCAGAAAACGTATATTTAAACTATCTAAACAATCAAGTTACTTTCAAAGTCGACAAATAACAGGTAGGGTAACATTTTCTACAAAAGCTCATTGCATAACCGCCGTCACTAGTACGCGCGTCAAATAAATCGCTCTGCGGTTACTAACGAATGGATGATGAGGATTTTAACGACTTGAGACCATATCGGTACATGCTTATATTTACTTATTATTTATTTCTCAATAACCGAAATATATTAAAAACAATATTTGTTTAACGGCTCGTACTGTTTTCGTGCCGAAACGTTTCGCATCAATCAAAATTATCTACACTTCTAACGATTTTGGTGGTTTACGTTGTAGGCGCTGCAAGAGGAACTCCCCGGATTCGTTTCCCGGTAGGACCAATTTCGGAAATTAACTTTTCTAAATTGGTTTCGGTCTGGGTGTTCTAGAAAGTGCCCAGAGTTAAGTCAGTTGCTCTAGCACTCATATTTCAAGCAATTCCCTTATTTTGAGACCAGGCAATCGGTGTGGTTGTTTGGCACATATTATTATTGTTCTTCTTTTGCCTGGCCTTATTCCTATTTATTTAGGGTCGTCCTTTCTGGTCACTTTTCTCCAAGACGGTCTGTCCTGAGTCGTTTGTGGTCTGAGTTATTGCTCTCGCAGATCTTTATTAACAAGGGATATCAATGTCAGGCGGGGTCTACCGCGTCTCTTATTATAATATAAGTATTATTCTCGAGCAAATTTAGTAGGAAAAACTACTCTAAAAATGGTTTTTCAGTGTTATTTGGATTTCTTCAATATAAACTTTAATAATATAGATACTTTCGGTTTATCCTTGCCTCTGTTAAGTACTTTTCTCTTACAAGTAAAGAGAAAAGTACTTACCAGAAGTTGTTTTTAAATATATTGTTTTAAATTTGTCTGTTAACACCGTACTTGCTTGCTAAATTCTTATTTTTGTTTGTAGAACACCAGTTGTTCTAGTCAATGTTTTGTATCACCTACCTGTTTTATGACTGCTTGTTTAAAATTAAAAAAAGAACGAAATTTCTACATATTCAAAGTTCATACATAGGTATGTTCAACATTATGTGCACATTAGAGAAAAAACAACGTTACGGTAGTAAATTTAAAGTTCATCAGAGAACAATTGAAAAATGCGCCGTGTACATAACATTGATTAATTTTAATTTACAAGTGTATATAATATTTTGCGTTAATTTAATATATCAGTATGTGTCATGAGGCACGAGCTGTACAAATCTTGTTGTCACTATAGAAAGTGAAAGGAATCACAATATTTATAGATCTGTCAAATTTGTTAGTCTAATGACAGTATAATAAATTTACATGTATGACCTGATTCTTGCTGCAGTCAGGGTTTTGTGTACATACTGAATTTTTTTTTATAAATTATTGTAATAACGTTTTAAGGATCGTTTTCAAACGTCTTTTTTAATTTCCTTATTTTTTTATTATGTATATCTTAAATGTAATCTGTAAATATTACTAAATCGTATATACACTTCAAAAAGAATATCATCACTAAACGTTAAAATCAACTTTCAGAAAATAGCGTTTCATATTTATGAAAATAAGTTTGAATTAAAAAAAGCAAGATTTTTGGTATTGTTTTGAACGTGGGACATAAACAATAAGATAGTATATTGAATTAACAATCATAGGAATAATTAGATAGTCCTATCTATAATCAAGAATTAACACAGGGTGAAATTAAAATGGCTAGAGAAGTTCACGGGCAATTAAATACACAAATGTATCTAGTCTCCCTGATGTACATATAATTACTTCCCGCTTTTAGGTTGACTGTGTAGGTACCTTGATGTAGTCTTCATAAATTGTGGGTCATAAATTATGCGCCTACAGTAGAGCAGCCATAGTTCTGTTAAAAAGCTTGCAACTCAAGTGTAGATCGCATCAGGGCGCCTAAATCACAGAATCTTTTTGAATCATACGCAGTATGGACTAGTAAATTACTTTTAAATATCTTCTTAACCCTTGTATAATAAAGCTACATGTGACCATATGTCAAAAGTGTTTTTATCACATAAAAGATCGTGGCTGTATACGTCTGTGACTTTTACGGCATTTTAGTTTGAGTTGCATTATCAATGGAAGAATATCTGGCAATCTGTTAAAAAACGCGCCATTTACAAAATCGTAGTGATGAGAACATATATTATTTATACAAGAATTAAATTATCATCGTATCTATTTCCTCGCAAATGTAATGAAAAACATTGCATGTAGCACGGGCGTAAAAATTACAAACCTCGAGTTATTAAAGCCCTCAGCCTATCTTTAAATCTCTCCCCTGAAAAGTTGTAATTTTGCAAATGTGGCTTTAATACACCAATGTTCGAAATCGTAATAAAATCTGCGTCTCCTTTCACATAAAAGTTTGAGTACACATCTAATTCCCAAATGCATTAAAACAGCGTAGTGTGATGTCTTTGACATGATGGCATCACCATCGATTCATTTAGGTCTCACTGTTCGTAGCTTCGGCACTGGTCACATTATTCTAATGCTACCTAGAGACTTCACAATTCATCAAGGAGTTTTTATGTGTTTTCTTTGTTTTAACAAACGTTATTGTATTATGATTAACATGGCGCCTAACTGCCCTAGTTCACATGAGAAAGTTTTTCGTTACACAATCACAATGTATATTGTCCCATAACATAGTATCTTACGTACTCGTATGTATTGTAAGTACATAAAAATCGGTAATTGAGAATCTTGTATATTTAGAATATTCCAATGTCTAATTTTCGCGTACGTTTTTTGAGTCCATCATAAACATGGAACATGTAAAAAGCCCGAAACGTTGGTTTGTTTGAAAAAACAAACATACGCAATTAAGATCCGAAAAAAAAATTGCTTCCTAACTTGAGTTACACATGGGATAGAATGAAATGTTCCTAGGTTCCAAAATCAAATTTGTACGAAGTACCGACATACGTTTTCAATTATTGTGCAAAGGTGGCCATTGTAGTAACCGAGTACATAGATACTTACTTTCACTTCTACTAATTAAAGAAATTAATTCGGATTGTTCTTTTCGAACAACTTTTTATTTTATTTGTTTAAAATGCGGGCTGATAAAAGGCTTCTCACCTTTACTAAAACACCGTTGCGCTGATTTAGTAATGTTTTTATTCAAATTTGGAGCTTGGATGTCGCAAGTTTTAATAGCGGCACAATACAATACAACAGATGTTCCGAAGCGTGCAACCGTACACGTGTTCCACTAAACAACTAACAGAAAATAGCATTTACTCCACTCAAACCCAAACGGTGACCACAGTGACCTAACGGTTTTGACTGTGGACGCTGAATGACAAGGCCCCGGGTTCGATTCTAAGTAAAACCAATTTGGGAAATTAACTTCATAAATTGTTACAGGTCTGAAAGTTTTAGGTTGTACTATAGACTGAATTCCGTGACCTTGGAACTCATAGTAAACGAAATTCTCAACGTTTAGAATAGGTTAGGTACTAAAAAAGACATTTGCGCCAACTGCAAATAGGTCAGACGCTTTATCTAATAAATAATAGACAAAGATATAGTAGTAATGAATCCGAGTTACATACAGCATCTCCATCAGTTTTTTTTTTACGATACCTACCTACGAGACGAATACCTAAGTCGTGCGCCTGGTGGTAAGCGACACGCCTGCCCATAACAGTTGCAGTGCTACACAGAGCTTGAAATCGCAGAGATCTGAGGAGCACTGCCACTATGCCCGTCACCCAGAGACATAAGTTGACATAGTCCCAAGTGCCTATATTGTCACCAGCACCCTTTCCCTTCAAAACCGGAAGGCAGTAATGTGAACTAAATTAAAAATACTTACGACTAATTAATGACTTATGACTTGCTCGTTACGGCACATTAAAATAAAAATTACTCAAATATGAGACCTATCAAATCGCGACAATAAAATCAACTGTTCCTTATATAGAGTCATTATTGCTGAGCCCAAACTGCTTTTTCGCACGTTTTATAATTAATCTCACCCTAATGTTTTTATTATGTAATATATCAACCAACATGATGTAAGTATAGCTTGAAGAAAAAAAAATGAAAATTTGAACTATAATGGTCTCATGGTAAAGCTCTTTTTTTTATAAATTTGCTACCCACACCGGATTGAAAGTCTGATGAAATGAACGTCAAAAATTCTTCACAGAAGAGCCCTACATTCACCTGCCTATGACGTAAGTTTTGCTATGCTCGTTTATGAGTTTGTCTCTAAATTATGCCCAAGCACGCGGGTATTTGTGTATGCTAGAGTCGCTGACTGTCGATGAATATGGATGACAATTTAATGGCATATTTTATTAATTAACCTACTTTTTGCGCCTATTGTACAGACTGTTACAGAGGTGGTATACGATCAAATGTACGTTTGTATATTCGTAAATGAAGAGGCCGATAACAAAAATCTTGAAATAGTTTTAAGTGAAAAAGCAAACGTAAAATATAATTTATGGAATCAGGCGTTATTTTACGGGAATCCTTGTTAAAAGAATACTTTCAAGTAAAAAAGAAAGAAAATAAATTTATTCCGCACAAACAATGTTACAAGTACAATATTACGATTTTATGCTTAAAGTGTATTGCACTGAAAGGGCCCAACTCAGCAAATACTACGGCGGAGCCACATCGCTGGTTTTCAGTGGCCCTTTACGAAGTGACCGGTTTAAAAATAAAATTGCAAAATAAAAAGAAAAACAATAAAAAATTATTTACGCGCTTTAAAATAAGTACAACATATAAATAACTTAATTAGTT